GTGGTCTCCACTTCCGAGGGGGGTCGCCAGCCGCTGCTCTTGTTCCCAGAGATCAGAATCCGTCAAGTCTCCAGGCTCCTCCCGCACCGAGTTCTTAGTGACTCCCTCGGGTGTAGCCAGCAAACGCCACCTCTTTGAGAAGGAACTGGTGGGCCAGAGCCGAGCAGAACCAGCCTCCAGTCGGAAGGTGAGGGGCTCAGGCCCAGCCAAGGATCTTGCAGCTGATCAGCCCTGAGGTCTCAAAGCCTGGACCTCAGCCTGCAGTCTTTTCCTGTGTCCATGAATGCGGGCGCAACTTTGACTCGAGTTACTGTGCGTTTCTGTGTCCAGGTCCCCGTGGCTGTGTGCCTAGCTCCGGGGGTCGGGGCTGGGGGGCCAGGTACGCATGGCGTGTGCCCCGTAGAGCTGGGAGTGAGGTGGAGGCCAGCCCTTGATCCAGGGCCTGTACGATGCTTTGCTGTTGCCAGCGACCTGGCACTGAGATGGGAGCCTCTCTTTTCAGGAGAACTTGAGGCTCTCAGGGGTCGTGACATCAAGGCTCAACTTGTGGATCAGCAGGACCCAGGAGTCTGGAGAGCAGGATCCCCAGGTACCATCGCCCCCCGAGGTCTGGCTGGAGGAGGCACGGCCCCAGTGATGAGTCGTTTCAGGAGTGGAGGCTGTGAGCAGGGCTGCTGGGGACGGGCCCGTGGTCAGAAGACAGCAGGGAGCAGCAGTGGGTCTGGGGTGCTTTTCCTTTTCAGGAAGGGGGAGGTCATTGTGGCAGAGAGGCAGGCCTGGGGGACCCAAGCCCCTCCATGCTCCTCCTCAGTCCCTGATTCCCACCCTGGTGCCCCCAACTAGGAGGAACGGAAGCAGCCCGCAGCCGCCAAGAGGGCACAGTGGGGGAAGAAGCCGGACTCCTCCCTGGACGCTGAGGCGAGTAGAGTGGATGGGCAGCCCTGGGACAGAGGCCTGGAGTGAGGTGACCACACGCCCCCCCCCTGGCGTGCCTGTGATTGCAGTCCAGGCCCCCAGAAAGCCCTGTTCCTGCTGTTCAGGCTAGTCAGCCCAACCGGAGCTCACGGGGCCCCTTCGGCTGATCTCGCTTTGTCGCAGCCCTGCAAAGCCCCTGCCCTGTCAGCGTTCGACGTTGGCTCTCCGACCCAGTGTGGGTGTGGGCTTGGTAGAGGTCTGCCTGCCAACAGCCCCTCCCTGTACTCACAGACTTTCACCCCACAGGTGTGACACGCCCTGCCAAGACTGCCTTGCAAGTCTGCCTCTCAAGGCCTTTGCTCAGGCGAGGCCCTGTCTCCTGCCACTGCATCTCCATCTTGCCCTGCCAGTTCTTGCCCAGGGCTCCCTTTCCGTCCCTGTGCCTTTCCGTCCAGGGCCCCTGGGTGCCAGCAGTATCTTTGAGGTCAAGCCAGCTCCTTCCCAGCCTGGCCATGCCAAGGCCTGTCCCATCCCACCACAGCACAGCCGATGTGAGGACCCAGCATCAGCCTCGGCCACAGCGCTGGTGTGCATCACACGACGGCCTCTGTGTCCTACCTGGAGACTACCCCCCACCTCCTGTCCCCTTCCAGGATCCACGTGGGGCGTCTTTCAGGAACTCTAGGGTCCGCTGTCTCACCTGCTCCTAGCAGGTGCCTCCAGGTCCTGTGGTGTCTCCCTCGCGTGGTCTGGGCCTGCCTACCTTAGCGTCTGGGGCCTCAGTGCCAGCCCGTGAAGGAGTTGCCCTGCGTCTGCCCTATGCCTCCCTGCTCTGTTCTTCCCTCCCTCCCCTGGCCTGCCGCCCTGGCTGGGAGCTCAGTGCCTTTTTCTGTGCAACTACCTACCCTTGCTCCGAAAACCTGTTCTCAGGAAGGATCTCATAAACTCATTCACTCTCAGGTGTAAGTGACTGATGATGCCTTAAAAATGAATTCCTTCCTGGGATCAGCAGGTGGCATAGTGCTTGGGGCACTGGGCTCCCACGTGACTGACCATGGTTCGAGTCCCAGATCTGGCAGCTTGAAACTCATGTCGGGTGTGTGTGTGCGTGCATGCTCCAAATCCCAAGAGAATGGAGGAATGAGGATTGCAGTGTGGCCATCCCCTCTGTGGGTGACTTCTCTCTCTCTCTTTGTCTCTGTGTCTCCTATAAGCACACACACTATAGCAAAAAATCTCTCTCTAAAAAAAAAAAAAAAGAATTCCTTTCTGTGTACTCACAGGGTACTTGCAGTGTGAGCAGGACCATCGCTTTCTTGGTTCCCCAGTTAAGGTGGCTCTAGCTTGGTGACTCAGAAGTCTAGAGCTACCATACACAGGGCCCGGCCTGCCCTCCCACCCCTACCCCCACATCTTCCCAGTGCCCAGTCCTCCATCCCTCTGTGAGTTGTAGAGCTGAGCCACAAAGAAACTCAGACACATCAAACTGAGAAAGTCACTCTGGTGTCCCGTAAAGTTGCTACCGTAAGGCCTTAATTTAAAACCAGGTGCTAGATAGAATTCTTCCTCCAGTGGACTGTTGGTTTTACTCAGAAGCAGCTGGGGCTGAGAACAGGTGCAGAGCCCCGCCCTCTTCAGGTACCTGCGGACACCTCAGGGCTTCTCAGAACAGGCCTCACAAGGCCCCTGTCCCCGAGCTGGTGGGGTGCAGGCAGCCTGCTTTGCTGCAGCGTTTGTGATTCTGGGTAAAGGCTCCTGTCTCGGATCCCATGGTCAGAGGGACAGAGGCCCCCCGTTGCCCCATCTGTGCAGACTTCCCAGTGCCCTGGGCTGCCCAAGCTGTGACTGTCTGTCCCAGTGAGCTAGAGGTAGTGGGCCCTGAGGTCCTGCCCTGAGCACCCCACCTGCTCCCGAGGCCTCAGCAGGTGCTCCAGCCCCACAGTTGGGTGCTCGAGGACAGAGCACCAGGGCAGAGGGCGTGGGTACCACTCAGAGACTCGGAAGACCTGAGCAGCTCCGGCTGTGCCGCGAACCCAGGGTGTGACCCTGAGACACGCCCCTTCTCTGGGGGCAAGTTGATGACCTCCAGGGACAGCAGATACTCAAGTTCTAAACTCTGGGAAGTCCCCTTGACTGTGAGCTCTTCTAGTAAGCAAAACCGTCCCCACACACTTTTCTTAGGAGAGGCTTCTCCCCTTAGGAGAGGCCACCGAGCTGACTCCTTTGAGGTGGGAGTCTGAGGCCACTTGGGAGGACTGCTGGGTCCTGGGTGCTGGGCTGTTCTAGCAGCTTCGGCTTCAGGTTGACGGGGCCCTCCTCCCTGCACACCCTCCCCAGGTGCCCACTGCACGCAGGCTGCTGAGGGAACAGTGGGGGTGGGTATAACCCCCTGACTCACACATAACCCATGAGGGGGGGTCAGCCCATAACCAAGGAGATGGGGCAGAGGCTGGAGGACCTCAGCTGTGAGATGAAGGATAGCGTGGGGAGGTGGGCTGGTGGGAGGCCTCCTGGAGAAGGTGGCACTTGAGTACCCTCTGCAGTCAGCAGGTCTCCCCGACTCGCCACCCCTTGCCCTGCACTCTTACTCTGCTCCAGAGGCCCTGGGACCCCATGAGTGGCATCCTCTGTGCCTTAAGTTCCCAAGCACCGTGTCAGTGTGTTTCTTCCCATGTTGTTGGACTGTATTTTTTCTTCCCATCTGCCGTGAGCCCAGGGAGCTGGCTTTGTGTCTGTTTGCAAGGACGGGACAACTGCGCCCTGCTGAGCTGTGCTGGGGAGGCTAGCTTTCCCCTTTAGCCCCTTTAACCACCTCAGCGCTCTGAGCTCTGCCCTGCTTAGCACAGTGAGAGGCCTCACGCACGTGGCCCTCCGGTCTTCCCGAGGGGGCCCAGGAGGGATGTAGGAGCCCAGCTCCCTGCCCTAGGCATCCTGCAAGCCAGGTATGGCCTGTAGGAAGGGTTATCCGGCTGTGGAGGAAGTGACACCCCCCTCCCGGAGTTAGGGAGTGTTGGGACAACCTCTCCATGGCAGGGGGCTCCCGGCCAGCACAGAGGAAGGCTGAGGGGGCTAGACTGGAAAGAGGGGCGAGGCTCTCCCACTCCTGCCAGGCTGGTTCCTCATCTTCCCCCTGGAGCTGCTTCCCCGCTCCATGCCTGCCCCTCGGCTCCCTGCAGCCCCCTCCCCCAGGCTGGCTGGCAGGCACGTGGCTCCACTTGCCCTGCAGTGGACTTGCTGGCAGCAGGGAGGCCCACGTGGTGGAGGATAAGCCTGGGGCCGGAGAATCAAGGCCACTGGGCTCAGAAGCCACTGGGGACCGGGGAGGGGACAGCGTCAGCTGAGTGATGGGCAAGAGCCTGGCAGCAGCAGATCAAGGAGCAGGGGGATGGCGGAGATTCTTCCAAGGACACCGGTGGAGGCTGCAGCCTTTAGCTCCGCAGCGGCAGGACCAAGGGGAACACGGGGCCAGGCGTGGGGAGGGGCAGAGGGTGGGTTTGGTGGCTCTCCTCGTCCACGGAAAGGCAGAGCAGTGCGCGAGTCACCAGAGGGCAAGACCTGGAGGTGATCAGGGTTCAGGGCTTGAGGGCACAGGGTGGGTGGGCCTGGTCCAGAGGAGGGCCGTGGCTTCGGGGTCAGGCAGGACTGGATTTGGACCGAGGCAGGGAGGCAGCTGGCCACCGGAGGGCTAGCCTTGCTCCTCTTTCATCTCTGTCACGGGCTGAGCCCAACAACGCGTGGCACCGCACTCAGCTGTGGACACGCGTGTGCCAGCCAGCACAGAAGTCCCTGGCCTTGGGGACCTTCTAGTCTCAGGTGTAGCAGGTCATGGGCCCATGTCACTTGACTTTAAAACCCTGGGAGCGAGCGTCCACGGTCCTCACTGCCCCTCACAGCTCAGCTGCCTGTACAGGAGGGCCACCGTCCTGACGGAAGTTCTGCCTTGATCTGACCTGTAGGGCCGCATGTCCATTCCCCATGAGAAGGGCTTGTCACACGGCTCGGGGACACGGAGAAGACCCCCTTTGCAGATGTGGGCCCTTACCGAGGCCCTCGGAGTTGGACCTGCCCGAGGGTGCCGTCTGTGAGGAGCAGCAGTGACTTGGCCAACACCGCTCCCAGGGCACCTTCCAAGAGCGGCTGTGGACCAGCCCTCACCTCCACCCCCAGGACCTGATGCAGAGGCTCCGGGGTGTCTTGGAGGTGGCCTTCTGCCCCAGCCCTGCTCCCAGCCTGCCCCCCCAGGCCCGCGTGGCTGGCATCTGTTTTATCAGGATTCTCGAGAGGGACAGCTGGTTTGTGTTACACGCCTGTTCCCTGCATATCTGTTCTGGTTTTAAATAGCTTATCTGAGCAGCTGGAGGGCCACATGGGCTTATATGGTGTGGGGTACACGTTCCTTTAGCCTTGTCCCCAGCACCTGCCAAAATA